GCCACTGGGGCCTTCGGTGGAGCTCCCCATGGGGCTACGAAGCGTGTGAGCGGTGTGCCAAAACGGATGCGGTGGTGCCCTGCGGACGCTGCCATTGCGGACTTAGGTGGGGCTCCCTGTCGGGCCACGCAACAGGTCAGGAGGGAGAACGAAACAGGTGCGGTGGTGCCATGCGGACGCTGCATCTGGGGCCTTCGGTGGAGCTCCCTAATGGGCCACGAAGCGTGTAAGGGGTGTGCAGAAGCAGAGACATGCGGAGGGCGCAGGCGATCTGGCAGGAGGGAGGAGGGGAGGAGAAGGAGGAGGAGGATAATGAGGAGGAGATGGAGACGGAGACGGAGATGGAGGAGGAGGAGGAGGAGGAGGAGGAGGAGAAGGAGGAGGAGGAGGCGGAGGAGGAGGAGGAGGTGGAGGAGGCGGAGGAGGAGGAGGTGGAGGAGGTGGAGGAGGAGGAGGAGGAGGAGGAGAGGAGAGGAGAGGAGAGGACGCGGGGCGCCGTCGATTTGAAAACCTGAACCCCACATCAGAGAATAGTTGGGAAAAAAACATATCTGTATCCGCGGCCTCGCGGGCCAGGCCCCTGTGCCGCGACCCCGCGGATACGGGGCGCTTTTTGCGGATGCCCCGCGCGTCACGTCTCCGTGCGACCGCGTATCTGCGGGGTCGCGCCCCGAGGTCCAGACCGAGAGGGCGCGGATACGGATATGTTCGCCACCCGCAACGGAACCTCAGGAGGCCACGGGTGTGGACGCTGTCGGGCCCCTCTGGCCCTGCGGCTCCCCAAATCTATCCACGTCCACTGCCTCCTGCGGTCCTTCGGGACCTCGGGTTCCCCAGGCGGTCGCTCTGTGTGGTCCCGGGTGCTGGGCTCGTGGGCGACCTCCCCTCCCCCTCCTCCCCAATGTTGATGATCCCCAGGACGTGTGTTTTACCCCCTTTCGGCCCGTGTCGGCCATCGTCGGTGGGGGTCCGGGGTGACCGCCCAGACATGCTCGCGTCGCGGCAACGTCATGACGGGCGGTTTCCGGCGGTCTCTGGCCACCTCTGGGGCCTTCGCCGAGCCCCGGGGCCGTCCAAGAACGGCGCGGGGTGAGAGGCCGGCGTCAGGGGGGAAGTTCTGGCGCTTGCGAGGGCTCCGTGCTGAACAAATCAGAATATCGCACGTCTGGGTGGAGCTTGTTTTTCAGTCCTTTGGCGCGTGACGGTCGACACTTTCCCCTCGGGTAAGGGTAGCGATTGTTTGAGGGGGGGGGGCCTAGACCCGAAATGGAACGAATTACAACCAACTAGTCCCAATTCCAACCGTTCGGAGCGAATTGCAACCAGAAATGAGACCAATTCCAACCAGAAATGAGACCAATTACAACCATGGATGGGATCTTCGGAATTCCTCAGGATTCCTTCGGATTCTTCGGAAACGGTACTGGGCGCAGGGGAAAACAGGATATTCAGCGCGTTTGCATGCATCCCCGGCAGCAGAGGGGGCTAGTATCCCACCGCAGGCTTGCCCTCATCTGTTCTGTGGATGCCTTGCAGCTGCCTGCGGGGACAGCCGCTCGCCGCCGTGGCGAAACAAACCCGCTCTCGGATTGCATTTGTGCGCGCCGCCACCGCCAGCCGTACTCAGAGATGCCTCTCGGCACGCTCCGCCCCCTCGCGGCTGGTTGGCAGTTGGTTGGTGGCCTGGTTGGCTGGCTGGCTGGTTCTTTGGCTGGTTGGCTGCTTGGTTGGCTCGCTGGCTGGTTGGCTGGTTGGTTGCCTGCCGTGCTGGTTTGTTGGTTTGTTGGTTGGCTTGCAGGCCTACGCCATCTCGCATGCCGAGGGGCCCGCCCGCTCGCGGATTGCATGAATCCGTATCATCACTACCACTACAACTGCGACCACGACCACGATTACGACTACGACTGCAACTACAGTTACTACTACTACTACTACTACTACTACTACTACTACTACTACTACTACTACTACTACTACTACTTACGACTTACTACTTACTACTTACTACTACTACTACTACTACTTACTACTTACTACTACTACTACTACTACTACTACTACTACTAGACCACGACTAGAATACTACTAACTACTACTACTACTACGACTTACACGAATACTACGACTACCACCACTGGCTACTACTACTACTAACTCTATACTACTACGATTACTACCACCACCACACCTATGCTTACTACTACCACCACCACACTACTTCTTCTTCCTACTAATACTACTTTACGACTACTCCGACAACAAGCGACTTACTACTCGACTAACTACGATGAATACTCGACCACTCACATAATACTACTACTACTACTACCTACTACTATACTACTACTACTACTATTACTACTACTACTACTACTGCTACTACTACTACTACTACTACTACCGCAATTACTACTACTACTACTACTACTACTACTGCTACTATTACTACTACTACTACTACTACGACTACGAATATTAAGAATACTTCTACTACTACTACTACTACTACTACTAAGTCTACCACTCTTACTACTACTTCTACTACTACTACTACTACTACTACCACTACTACTACTACTACTACTCCTACTACTACTACTACTACTACTACTACTACTCCTACTACTCCTAACACTACTACTACTACTACTACTACCACCACCACCTACTCTTACGACGACCACCACCACCACTACTTCTACTACTACTTCTACGACTACTACTACTTTTTTTTTCTACGACTACGACTACTCCTACTATTAGTACTACTACTACTACTACTAACATTACTACTACTACTACCACTACTTCTACTACTACTACGACTTCGAATACTAAGCATACTACTACTACTACTACTACTACTACTACTACTACTACTACTACTACTGCTTCTACTACTACTACTACTACTACTACTACTACTACGACAACGACTACGACTACTATCACTACCACTACTACTATTGCTGCGACTACTACTACTACTTCTACTACTACTTCTACTACTACTTCTACTACTACTACTACTACTACTACTACCACTACCATTATTTCGATTACTACAACTACGACTACGACTACGACTACGTCTACTACGACTACTACTACCACCACTACTATTACTACTACTACTACTACTACTACTTCTTCTACTACTACTACTACCACTACTACTACCACCACTACTACTACTACTACTACTACTACTACTACTGCTACGAGTATTGCTACTACTACTGCTACTACGCTCACTACTACTACAACGATTACCACTACTACTACTACTACCATAACGTTTACTACTACTACCACTACTACTACTACCACTACTACTACTATTACTACTACTACTACTACTACTACCACTACTACTATTGTGACTACTACGACTACTACGACTACGACTAAGACTGCGACTACGACTACTACTACTACTACTACTACTACTACTACCACTACTACTATTGTGACTACTACGACTACTACGACTACGACTAATACTACGACCTACTACTACTACTACTACTACTACTACTACTACTGCTACGACGGCGACGACGACGACGACTACTCCTACTATTAATACTACTACTACTACTACTACTACTACTACTACTACTATTACTACTACTACTACTACTACTACGACTACTATTTACTATTACTACTACTACTACTACTACTACTACTACTACTACTACTACTACTACTACGCTTACTACTACTACTACTACTACTACTACTACTACTACTTTGACTACTACTACTACTACTACTACTACTACTACTGCTGCTACTACTACTACTACTACTTTTACTACTACTACTACTACTACTACTACTACTACTACGACTATTACCACTACGAATCGGAGGATCCATTTTGCATCGTTTAACATCGATGCAATTCGGTGCGGTTTTGTTTACGCTTCGGTGCCCTTTTGTTCATCTTAACATAGTGCTCGTGCCCCTGGGCCACCCCCCCTTGGGACCCGCCTCCGTCCAGGTTTCCCAGGGCAGCCCTTTGTGCAAGAGCCAGGGCACGCGTGCCACTTGCTACCCCGGTCAGTTCGGGCGCCCAGCCTTTCCCGAATCGTCGAGGTTGGGGGCGGTCGGGAGTAACTCCTGGCTCGCGCGTCGGGGGTTTCAGCCGGGGTTTGCCCCGGAACCGGAGTCGTCCCCGATATTTCGGGCGTCCAGTGCTGGCGCTCGGCGATCGCAGCGCGGCCCCGCCCCGACGTGCCCCACCCCGCTCCCGAGACCCGGTGCCCCAACCTCCCAGCAACGGCCGTTCCTTACCAGCCTGGAACCTATCCTTTTCCCTACGTTGGGCATCGCCTCATCACGATGGCGATCTTAGGGATTCCCTCAGTTTCTGAGGGTGCATCCCTGAGATTGTCATCGCCCTTCGGCGTGTCAATCTTAGGGATAGGGATGAGTTCGAGGCTGGTTAGTTCCAACCTCCCAGCAACGGCCGTTCCAGAAACATGGGAGCAACGAGTCTCGCCTGGGTTTGGGACGCAGGCTGTCCTCCGAGGACGTCTCGGGCGCCTATAGAGCTTCCGGGGTCCCAACGACGCCCTTCGGCGGCGCACCGTGCCGTGGCCCGGGCACCCGACGATCTGGGCTGTCAGTCCGTGGCCCCCAGGCTCGCCCCGACCCCTTCCCTGGGGTCAGCTTTCGCCGCGGGTCCGTGTTCGACGGTCGAGAGCCCCAAATGCCGAAGTCGAGGAAAAGTGCAAGGAGGAGGAGGAGGAGGAGGAGGAGGAGGAGGAGACGGAGGAGGAGGAGGAGGAGGAGGAGGAGGAGGAGGAGGAGGAGGAGGAGGAGGAGGAGGGGGAGGAGGGGGAGGAGGAGGAGGATGAGGTGGAGGAGGGGGAGGAGGCGGCGGAGGAGGAGGAGGAGGAGGGATCCCGAGGTCCCCGCACGGCCCGTCGCCTGCTGATTTCCGGGGCCGCCCGCCTCTCCCCGCTGGCGCCGGCAGCCACCGTCCCGAGGTGTCGATGAACACGGGCTGGAAGGCGGGGCGCTCGGCGGAGGGCTGCCCGCTGAAGGCGCCCCCCCGCCCCCACCTCTGCGGCCCAGCGGCCCGCTCCCATTGGGGGGGGGCGGCGTTCCGTAGGGCGAACTGGGGCGAGGCGTCCTGTCTGGCCCACAGGCCAGCCAACGAGTTGTCTAAGATGTTTTCCCCCGGAGAGGGGGGACGTTCCGTGGGTCGAGCAGAGGCGAGGCGTCCTGAGGCCAACCAACGAACTGTCTAAGAATCTGTTTGTGGTCTGCACGGGATGTTCTTATAGAGCATGTTTGGTCGAGGCTGTCCTGCTGTCTCACTCCATCACGTCCAGCTTCTGTGCTACGAGCATCGCCATTCCTCGCAGCATGTCTTGGGCTCTCCAAGAACATGTCGAGGTAGGCCTGTGGGAAAGCCGGGACGGTCGGTCCCTGTTAACGTAAGCAGACGCTTCCCTCGCCATTTCGTTTTTTTTGCTTCGCCCTCTGGAGGGTCGAGCCCCCTATCGCAACTGCCAGAAGCTGGTGCTCGCCGGGAGCTCCAGAACGGCGCACGACTTTCTCGAGCTTGGCCTTCGGCGGGCTGCCTCGCGTTCAGGCTCGGGGGCCGATTCGACAAAGTCCTAGCGGATACGAGCCATCACGGGAACCTTCCCCAGGAATTCGTGAACACATTCGGGCCGCACCATGGGCCATCTGGACCATCACGCGCTGGCGCCCCGCGTCGAAAAAGTCTCGTCTTCGTGTGCCTGGGGGGGGGGCCAATTGGCGGGGGTGATCCCAAGGAAGGGGTCGAGACCTTTGGTGTCGCGCGTCGAGAAGGTCACATCCTCGGATGCCCAGGGGAACTAGCTGGCGAGGGAGGGGGGGCCCAGGGAGGGGGTCGAGATCTCTCAGGCCCGCGCGTCGAAAGCGTCGTCACGTCTTCGGATGTCCGGGGGGGCCAGCTGCCCGGGGGGGTGGGTGGAGGCCGAGGTCTATGAGTCCTCGGCGTCCGCCAGGGCGCGAGGGCCCTGGAGTCCGAGGACGGGCCCCAGAGGTCGAGGTCGAGGAGAGCACAGAGGCGCCCTCGGAATTGCAGCACCGGATCGTCTGAGGTACAGGCCTCGGAACAACTTAGCGAACAGTCATGCCATATTCATCTGTCAACTGCTCCCCCTCCCCCCAATGTTCAAAGTTGGCGGTGGGTCTGATGGGATGCACTTCGACCGCAGTCTCCCCCGCGCGTGCCAACAGTGAGGTTGGGGGGGGAGGGGGAGTGTTCAGTAATTGTTTCCCTCTACCGTATGTAGTCACCCGCTGTTGCGGATCAGAGTGAGGGGGCGGGTGGGGTCGTCGGCAGCCTGCGAGGCTCGCAAGAAGGCCGCCGCCAGGCGCCGACTTTTTGAAACAGGTTATGCGACGAGCTTGCCGCAGGCGCCGATGTCTTCGTCCAAGCAAGCGGGGGGATCGCGGGTGGGTCGCGGGTGGGTCGCGAGTGGGTCGCGGGTGGTTCGCGGGTGAGTCGCGGGAGGGTCGCGGGGTGGGTCGCGGGCGGATCGCGGGTGGGTCACAGGTGGGTCGCGGGTGGGTCTCGGGCCGTGTCGCGGGTGGGACGACGACGGCATTCAACGAACAATAAGCACAACACCACCACCACAACCACCACCAACAACAATTACGACACCATCAAGCACAACAACAATAACACCACCACCACCACCAACAACAGCAACACCAACCACCACCACCACCACCACAACAACAACAATACTCGTTTGAAGACTGTTCGCTCTTATCTACGTGCGTATCATCCAATACGTATACCCGAAGCACTCGATACCCGGCCTCTTCGTCTTCGACCGTGCCCCCTCGGGGGTATATCATTCTTACCTGCAGCGTGTAATTCATGCAGCCCCTACGGCAGGAGAAGAGAAGACGAATGAAAGCAATGGACAAGAGGAAGGGAGGAGGATGGAGCACGAGAGAGAGAGAGAGAGAGTAGCAGGAGGGGGCTAGGAGCAGAAATCATGTGGCAGAACCAGACGGGCAAATAGGGCGGGTAGACGCTAACATGCGGGTCGGGGAGGCGGGCCCAGGCGGCCAGGTCGACCAGGCGGGTTGCTAAAGCGTGCGTCGTGCATGAATCGCCTGTCTCGAGCGATAGCGCAATCCCCAAGAGTAAGCCGTGAGATAGGCCAACGTGAGAGCGTGATTCCTGAGTGTCCAGGGCGCGGCGCCTGAATAAATTGCGAGGACGTCCCAGAGAGCACGATTGCTGCACAACCTGTTTGGCAGTCAGCGCGATTTGGGAATAACTTGTGAGGAAGTATCAGGCGGGAGCCGTTGTTGTGGTAACTCGGTGGCCAGGGGGCCCATTCTGAGACCAAAGTTTTCCTTTTATGAAAAGCAGAGAGCGAGCCCCGGGAGGGGCATTTCAATTGAAAGATACAATGTGCCCCGGAAGGGGAAGGTCAAAATACTTATTCTTCAAAAGTGAGAGTCTAACACTCACCACTCACACCAACATCAACACCACCACCAACACCACCACCGCCACCAATTCTCTGTGTCCCTCAATAGTTCTGGGGGTACCTGTAGTCCGGGGGGGTACCTATAGTCCGGGGGGGGTACTTGTAGTTCGGGGGGGGTACCTGTAGTCCGGGGGGGGTACTTGTAGTCTGGGGGGGAGGTGCCTGTAGTCCGGGGGGGGGGGTACCTGTAGTCCGGGGTGGGCGCGCATGGGGGTACTTGTAGTCCGGGGGGGGGGTTGGGCATATGGTCAAGCCTCAAAGCACGCGTGGTTCCACGCACGCGGGTGTTTAGTATTTACGCGCGCGGGACCTCACGCGCATCGTTGCACACGACACGCCCGCGCGCACGCGCGCATGCACGCACAGACTCACACGCGCGCGCGCACGCGCGCACGCAACCGCACGGAACCGCCCACACGCACACGCAAGCATACACGCACGCACACGCGCGCACGCACAGACACTCTGTATCATGACAATGACAACTTTCCAGATATTGCATGGTTGCGCTGTCTGCTTAGGTCACAGCCAAGCAAGCGCACAATGTGTGCGAAACCTGAGCGCCGACTCAGCTGGCTTCTAGGTGCCTCGTCACGATGCTCACTATCTCGCCGTCCCCCCGCCATCGTTTTCCGTACTTATGCTCCTTCCTTTTCTCTCCCCGTCATTCCGACAATCATTATGTGTCTGTTGCGTTTCTCTTCCTCTTTCTCTCTCTCTCTCTCTTTGTTCGTCCGTTCCCCTGCTTATTGTTCTGCTTCTTTGTAGATATATCGTTCCGTTCCTCGTTACCTTCTCGTTTCCGTGCCCACTCGTCCGTCGAGAGTGCTCAGCCCCGACCGCTGGCCCAACGATGGCGAATTTCTTAGCACGCCTAAGTGAAAATGTGCGGACGCATCTTGGCGGGGCGCTTTGGCTTCCAGAGAATACGTAGCGAACGCGGGGGGGCTTGTAGTTCCGGGGGCTAGGGGGGTACCAGTAGTCCGGGGGGGGGGTGCTTGTAGTCCGGGGGGGGTACTTGTAGTCTGGGGGGGGGTACCTGTAGTCCGGGGGGGAGGTACCTGTAGTCCGGGGGGGGGGTACCTGTAGTCCGGGGGAGGGGTACTTGTAGTCCGGGGGGTACCTGTAGTCAGGGGCCCCAAAACTATTGAGGGATACAGAGTAACAACAACATCAGTCATTTCGAAACTGTTCGCTCTTATCTGCTCGTGTGCCGAACAGCACATATGACCCAAATCTTCAATACCCGCCCTCTTCGTCTTCGATCGCACCCCCTTTGGGGCATATTTTTGTTTGTAGCGCGATTCCTAAATATATCGCGAGGACAACTATTTCGAGAGCGTGATTCCTGAGTGCCGAGGGCGCTGCGTCTGAATCAATTGTAACGAAGTCCCACGCGAGAGTGCGATTCCTGTACAATTTGAACCCGTATAAATGGACCGGACGGCCAGCGCGAGACCGCAATTTTGGAAATACATTGTGAGGAGGTATCAGGCGGGAGCCGCTGCTGCTATAAACCGGGGCCCAACAACACCGTTTGGTGACACCTCACTTTCCCTTGTAATTTATCGTGGCGCGAGCCCTGGGAGAAGCACTTGACCACATTAGGTGCAATGGTTATACCAGGGGGGAGGATCTCCAAATAATTGTTTTTGCGAGTTGAGAGTCCGACACCTATGCGCTCCGCGAAATTCCACCTGCAGCCACGCTCCCAGGGACAGCAAATGACCGTCTGGCCCCCTCGCTCTGAGGATGACGCCATCTCTGCGGAGGCGACCCCTCTGCGGGCGTTATCGAGTTCGAGCGCCGCCCAGATGGCCCAGGCGCGGCCAACGTGGGTCGATCTGGCGATCGAGGGGCCGAACAGTGAAGGCTGAAGGGTCACCCCTTTTTTTTGGTGGCTCCCGACACGAGCAGCACGAGGGTGCTTCGCCAAGGTCGGCCTCGTGGCGCCTCTGCTGGCAGGGCCAGCGTGCGCCGACGCTTTTTCCCACGGACCCGGCCTCTCTATCGAGAGCCGACGAAGACCAAGCCCTCAATAGATAGATAGCACGGGGAAGGCGTGGCCGCACTGCGACGAGAGCCCGCCGGTCGCGGAGGGCTGCAGGATCCACGCGGTGCCCGGCGCCGGCGCCAGGGCCTTCGCGGCACGGGCCTGCCGCTGTTCTGCGGGCAGGCGCTCGGCAGCAGCACCGTGTGCCCCGCCCCCCCCCTGGCTGCTGCGGTAGCAGATATCGTGGGAGCCTGGTATGCCTTGTTTACCAGCCTCGGACGTATCCCTATCCTTAAGATTGACACGCCAAAAGGCGATGACAATCTTAGGGATTCGCCCTCAAAAAATAAGGGAATCCCTAAGATTGACATCGTGTTGAGGAGGTGCCCAGCATAGGGACAGGGATTATGCTCCAGGCTGGTAACTCGTTGCTTCCGCACTGGGCGTCGGCTATTGACGGTCTGGCGCCTGGGAGTCGATGAGGTGTAGCGCCGGTCCAGTGCGGGTCAGCGTCGACCTGGCGTCGGTCGGCGTCGATGCCGGCGGCGACCAGCGTCGGTCCGCAAGCGCCGAGCAGACGGTGCGCGAGGGGCCCCACGAGCTGCCGCCGAAGGCCGCGGACCTCCGGGGCCGCCAGCGGCGGCGGGCGGAGGCTCGCGCCTCTCGCCGGTCGCGGGCTGGGCCCGAGCGACTGCCCGCCTGAGAGGGGGGAGGCGCGAGGCGGGCAGACCTTGGGGGCCGCCTGCGGAGGTTCCCTCGAGTCAGGAGGAAATCACAGCGGGAAGTGTTTCGCCATTTTCCGCCTCGGGGGGCCCTTCTCGGGCCTCGGGACCGTGACAAAACGGCTCAGGATGGAAAACCGGTCCCTGGGAATGGGTCGAGGCCTCTGGGGGTCGACGTCGTGAAGAAATCATGCCGTCGGGGGCCTGGGCCTAGAAGTTGACACCAGCACCGATATCCGCGGTGTGCCTCCACCGAGGGAAGCAGATCCCGATCTCGGAGATGGTGGTAATCTTCTTGCTTCCGAGGTGGCCGAAGTACTACCACCAGCACCGGAATCTGGGATCATCTTCCCCCTGTGGAGGCAGATCCCCGTGTTGGTGTTGGTGCCCATGTACAGGCCTCCAATGGGGTGCTCGATCACGGGTCCCTTGTTGCCCGCATCCATCCGGCTTTCCCGCACGGAACCGCCGAAGACCGTCAGAAGACCGCCGAAGAGCGCTGAGAGCCGTCCGAAGACCGCCGAGGACGGCCCAGGCGCGATGGACAACAAGGAGTTCGTGGTCGAACGCGTAAGTTCCCCCTTTGAGGGGGCCGGGGCTGGTGCCAGGCCGCCGCCTAGGATGGCGACGAGGACTGCGAGTACGACGACGGCGTCGCGGACTTTGGCCGTCACCGCGACGACAGTCGCGACGAGAATGACGGCGACGACGACGACGACGAGAACGACGGCGCCGGCCGCGGCGGCGGCGGTGACGACGGCGGCCCCGCCTGGGAGGTGCTCGCGATCAGCACCGTGTCCCCCCTGCGGCTGCTGACCGCGGGGGAGATGGCGGAGGCGGCGTGGGGGGTCCGCGCTCGGTGATGGGCCCCATGTTCCACCACCGCTACCATGGGTAGGGTAGGGAGGAGGAGGAGGAGGAGGAGGAGGAGGAGGATGATGGAGGAGGAGGAGGAGGAGGAGGAGGAGGAGGAGGAGGAGGAGGAGGAGGAGGAGGAGGAGGAGGAGGAGGATGAGGAGGAGGAGGAGGAGGAGGAGGAGGAGGAGGAGGAGGAGGAGGGAGGAGGAGGAGGGAGGAGGAGGAGGAGGGGAGGAGGAGGAGGAGGAGGAGGAGGAGAGGAGGAGGAGGGAGGAGGAGGAGGAGAGGAGGAGGAGGAGGAGGAGGAGGAGGAGGAGGAGGAGGAGGAGGAGGAGGAGGAGGAGGAGGAGGAGGAGGAGGGAGGAAGGAGGAGGAGGAGGAGGGAGGAGAGGAGGAGGAGGAGGAGGAGCGAGGAGGAGGAGGCGGAGGAGGAGGAGGAGGAGGAGGAGGAGGAGGAGCGAGGAGGAGAGGAGGAGTGAGGGATGGAGGAGGAGGAGGAGGAGGAGGAGGAGGAGAGGAGGAGGAGGAGGAGGAGGAGGAGGAGGAGGAGGAGGAGGAGTGAGGAGGGAGGAGGAGGAGGAGGAGGAGGAGGGAGGAGGAGGAGGAGGAGGAGGAGGAGGAGGGGAGGATGGGAGGAGGAGGAGTAGGAGGAGGAGGAGGATGAGGAGGAGGAGGAGGAGGAGGAGTAGGAGGAGGAGGAGGAGGAGGGAGGAGGAGGAGGAGGAGGAGGTAGGAGGAGGAGGGAGAGGAGGAGGGGGGAGGAGGAGGAGTGAGGAGGGGGAGGAGAGAGGGGAGAGGAGGAAGGAGGAGAAAAAGAGCAGGAGGAGTGGACAGGAGGCTGGGGAGGAGGAGGAGGAGGAGGAGGAGGCGGAGGAGCAGGAGGGGAGGAGGAGGAGGTGGAGAGGAGAGCAGGGGACGAGGAGGGGGAGGCGAGGAGGAGGCGGAGGAGAGGAGGAGGGGGACCTCCTCATCCTCCCCTCCCCCCCGCCCTACGTGTGGTCCCGGTGGCAGAAAAATGGCCCCGTCACTCGGGCCGTGGAGGAGGAGGAGGGGGACCTCCTCATCCTCCCCTCCCCCCCGCCCTACGTGTGGTCCCGGTGGCAGAAAAATGGCCCCGTCACTCGGGCCGTGCCCGACATGGATCCTGGGACGGGGGCCGCCCTCCTGAGACTTCGGCCTGCGCCGGCGCGGCGTCGCCGCCTGCCCGGACTCCCTCGCGCCGTGGGCAGGTCACGACGCCTGTTCTTGAGGCTACAGTCGGGGCCCTGAAGAAGGAACCCTTTTCGTTGGGGAGAGGCTCCGCGTTCCTTAAGTGTTTCGCAGCTTGCCTCAGGTTTTCCTTATGGCTTCGATCGGACATCGAAGTTTAACTTATGGAAAAAAACCTCGTTCCTTATTTTGGGTTCCTTAGGTCAAGGCCCCGACTGTACTTTCGGGCTGTTCTGCATAGGGGCCCTCGCCCAGCCGCGGGGCCGTCGATCCAACGACTCTGCAGTGTAAGAAGCCAGTCCCGGGGGACTAGGCCGAGACCTCCGGGGGTCGACGCCATGGACAGAAGATCGGGGGCGGCAAAGAGGGGGTGATGACTAGGGGGGGGCGGATATCATGGCGGGGGCCATGATAATTCCCCTGATTTCATGGTGCTTCTTCTCATTTCATTAAGTCCCTGGTCCCCCCGCTGGGCCGCGCACGTGCCGCTGGTCATGATTCGCCCCCCCCCCTCTCTTGGACACATCCCTCTTGGCCGCTCCCGAAAATACCACCGGCAGGGCTTCGGCTTGCGGCCCCCCAAAAGGTAGTCCCAGCTGGCCTCAACGGGCTCCCCGGGTAGTCCCACCCGGCCTCAACAGGCCCCCCGAGTATAGGCCGGGACAGTCTCAACCCGCTCTGGCGCCGCCTCCGGTGGCGCCCCTGGGGCTCTCCGCGCCCTAGGGTTGGGGTGTCGAGGCCGCCGCTCTTGATATCGGCAGCCTCAGACGGAGGGTCAGAACTTGGCACAGCTGGCCCGAGGTGTGCAGTCGGGCCGCTGAAGAAGGAACTCGTTTCGTTGGTGAGGGGCTCAGTGTTCCTGGGTTAATCGTTTTTGCCGTTTACCTCAGGTTTTCCTCAGGTTCTCTGAGGGAAATCGATGTTCAATATATGGAGAAGGGGCCTCGTTCCTTCTGTAGGGTTCCTGATGACAGCGTTTCGATTGTAAGAACAACTGTATGTTCCTCGTGTTTGGGCTCTCCACCTTCGAAATGCCCCTCGTACCGACTGTGCGAACAAGTGGGTCGACCGAGGTGCAGCACTGCCGCACATGCCAGGCGGTCACGTCCTGAAGAGGTGGGTACGTGTATTGCCTCGGCTTTCCCCGCATCCACCGAGCCTGCTTGCCTTTGCGACCGCCTGCCTCGTCTTGCCCTCCTCTGCGCTTCCCTGCCTTGCTGCCTGTCCCTCCGCATGTCGTGCCCTGCCCTGCCTCGTATGAAGTCGGGCCTGCCCCTCTACAGGAGGATTTTTTAAGTAAGCAATAGTCTGGGGACGATGTCGGGAATCTGTTTGTGATCATTTTTGCGTTTCTTCTTATTATTATTAGTATGATTATTGCTGTTATTATTATTATCATTATTATAATTATTATTATCATTTTTTATTATTATTATTAATATTATTATTATTAATTTTCTTTTTTATTATTATATTATTATTATTATTTTATAATTACCATTAGTATTATTCTTCTTCTTAGTATTATGAGTATGATTCGTATGATTAGTATTAGTCTTGGTATCATTATTATGTTTATATGTGTAATATATATATATATATATAGATATAGAGAGATATTTAAAAAGAGCGTATCGCCAACATCTGCATGTATGGGGGACATGCCCGACCTAATAAGCCTCGCACCGCCCTGCCGCAGCACGGTGGGGCTCGTCTTGTGGAGGCGGTTGCTGCGGGCAGGCGGCGACTGCAGGGAGGGCTCGACGGCTGGTACGGTGGGGGCCCATGCCAAGCAGCACCCTGCTCCGGAGTGCCTGGAGATGGCGGCCACGAGGCGGACCTGACTATGGCCGTCGGGCTTCCAACCAGTGACGTGCATATGTTTCTGGTAGGCTCTCTTCTGGAGCCAGCTGTTAGTCTTCAAGCCAATGGGGCAGTGATCGGGCAGCGCACCGCCCAGGAGTAGAGGTTCCGCATTGTGTAAGAGAGGTAAAGTATCCAAGGTCTTATTATATTATACAAGATGTAATCGAGCGTCCTCCAGGCGCCCGTGCTATATGACCAGAAGGTGTGTGGTTTCTGACCGGAAGCGCCTTGCCTTCGCGGAAGGCGCTTCGGGAAGCGCCCTGGGTGCGGGGATGGGCTGGGTGCTCAGCTCCTGGCCCCGCGGAAGGCGGCAGAAGGTCGCCGGAAGGCGGCGGAAGCAAGACAGGAACGGATCCGCCGGCGGAGTGCCGGCGGGGGCCGGCAGATGCAGCACCAAGAAGTGTCGACCTTTTTGGACTCGGGGCTCCTGGTGTTAAGTCGGGCCTGTCTTTGACAGGGGGAATATTGAAAAAAACAAAAATAGTATGGGGACTATGTTTTGAATATGTTTTGGCAATGTTGGTGCGTTTTTTGAGTGTCTTGTTATGTTCGTCGAACATCCCCCTGTGGGGGGACACGCCCGACTTAATCCTGGTGGCGCTCCACTGGCAACAAAGCCCTGCGCGCGGTGTGGGCTGGCAGCCGACCCATGTCCCCGGATGACGTCGATCCCCACAGAGGCCTCGGCGCACGCCCGAGAACCGGCTTCTCATCCCGCGACGTTTTTTCGCAGCCCCGAGGCCCGGTATAGAGGGCCCTCAGCGGCTGAAAATAAAGAGGAACTTTCCGTCGTGATTTGACCATGCCATCATGCCTCGAGCCCGGACCCCCGACGTCGTGACTTTGTTCGCTACGTCGACCCCTGGAGGTCTCGCCCCATATCCCAGGGACCGGTTTTTCATCCCGAGTCGTTTTCTGACGCTCCCGGGGGCCAGGAAGCGCCCCCGGAGGCCAAACATATAATACAACCAAACATTTTTTTTTTTTTTTTTTTTAACATCCAAAGCTCCCGCCATGTGATTTTCTCATGGCCCGAGGGGGTCTGGGAGGGGGTCTGGGGACCAGGTGGACGTCGTGCTCTGCTCCTACCGCCTGCTCTTCTCCAAGATCTACCAGGAGCGGCGCGAGGACTTCTCCGGCGGCAGCACCCTGGCGGCCCTGGTGGAGGCCCTGCGTGCTCGGGCGGCGGGGAGGGGGAGATGGTCAGGAGGGGAAAGAAACACACAGACACAATGAATCGTCGACTCCCCAGGGAAATATGGGAAAATATGGTGGGAAGTGGGGGGGAAGACAGACACCCAGGAACTATGAGAAGATATGAGGAATCCTTTTTATTTGTGTGTTTTTATTTGTGCGTCCCAGGGCCCCTTCAGATGGGGGGTGGGCCCGCCGATCCCCCCCGGCGCACGGCGAGCGACGAGAGCCCCTCCTCCTGCTCCTGCTCCTCCTCCTCCTCCTCGGATCGCCTACGGCCCCAGGGGAAACCGTGCAACCGGGTATCGAACAAAATCAAGATGTCGGATCTCCAGGTTGGGCGTTGCAATTTGTTCACCAGGGCGTTCCGCTCGGTTTTAGGCCCTGGGGCCATCACAGATCGATCCGGCTCAGTGAATTGCCGCAGATTGCCCGGGCCTGGGGCCCCGGGCGTGGTTTCCGCGATGTTGCAATGCTTCGCAACGTCGGACTCCAGGGACCGACGGCGGCGTCCGCAGCGGCGGCGACGACGATCACGACGACGACGATGACGGCCCGCCGCACGTCCCCGTGGGAGGGCGGCGCAGCCCGCAGATCGGGGCGTCCCGAATGCATCGTGCCGGTTTGATGTGACCGCTGTCGGTAAGATCTTCCTCCTCCTCCTCCTCCTACTTCTCCTTTCCATCTCCTCCTCTCCTCATCCTCCTCCTCCCTCCTCCTCCTCCTCCTCCTCCTCCTCCTCCTCCTCTTCCTTTCCTCCTCCTCCCTCCTCCTCCTACCTCCTCCCCACCTCCTCGCTCCTCTCCTCCTCCTCCTCCTCCTCCTCCTCCTCCTCCTCCTCCTCCTCATCCTCCTCTCTCCTCCTCCTCCTCCTCCTCCTCCTCCTCCTCCTCCTCCTCATCCTCCTCCTCCTCGCTTCCGCCCCAGAGGTTGTGAAGGCAGGACCCGATTTCCCCATCCTCCCTCCCTCGGGGGGAGGGGGGAGCAGCCCTCCAGGCGGCGAGAGATGAATTGTCCATCCCCCCTCGACGCTGTGACCCCCTGCGGGCGCCGCGGTTTCTGGGACCTGCTGTGATGCGCGTGATGCCATTGGGTCCGCGGCGCTGGCGACCCTGGGCTTATGATGTTCCAACCTACTTTAGCCTTGATCGCCAGAGTGAATTTCGAGCACCAGGAAAGCACCCCAAAAATCTAGGGTTTTCACATGTCGGGTCCTGGGAGACACTCTTTCGGCACTGTGTCGACACTCTTTCGTTACTCCTTCGACACTTGTCTGGGTGCTCGAAATTATTTCTGGGATGCGGTCCTGAAGTAGGATGGGAGCAACATAACCCTGGGCCGCTCAATCATGCATTACTTTTGCCCCCCAATGTTTTTTCAACAACAAATGCCAGGACCCACATTGCAGCGGAATCGATCGCCCAAGCCCCCAGCAGCCAGAGGCAACGTTAAGCCGAAGAGGGCACCTTTCATCTTCAAGCGCCTGAGCTTCAGCTGAATGCGCTTTTGCGTGCTTTTGTTGGGTTGCTTGGCGCCCTGCTGCACGCCACACGACGAAGAACGTGATGTACGTATGTGTGAGCGCCGGCGCCGCGCTCTCAAGGAAGGGGTGAGCAGCAGGAGAAGAGGGAGGAGTCGGAGGGGCGGCTGCATGGCAACGGGGGTGGAGGAGGCCGCACCCGGCCACGAGCTGTCCTGTCCCGCACGCGCATATTGTCCAGCGGAGCGAGGCCCACTGCGGGCCGAGGACGGCGCCGCCGTCGCACGGGCACGGGCGGAGGCGAAGGGAGGCGGCGGAGGGCGGCCCGCCCGCCGCGCCCCGCTCCCGCGGCGCAGGCGACGCGCCGGGTGATCGAGGGGACGTACAACACGGAAGTCCGCGGCAAGAAGGAGGCGCGGCTCCGCGCCGGCCTCCCTCCTCTGGGCTCGGGATCGGCGCTGGTTCTCGTTCTGGGGCCGTGCCCCAGGCCTAGGTTGGGGAGACCTACCCGTCGTCGAGGCTCGCCGTGGGCAGAGCGTCCCCTCCGTCTCCCGTGCCGCTCTCCTCGCTGCATCTAGCACTACGGCTGTGCCTCCCCATCGCCCGCCCGTGCTGCGGAAGCTCTGCTGGCGATGTGTCTGCTTCGCTCCAGCCCGAACCCTGTCTGACTCCTTCCCTCCACCGAACCCGAGCCACGCGTGCTCATTTTGTCCCGGGCGGACTTGGCAATCATGGTGCCCGCTCTCTTTCGTCCCCCCCTCGTGCCCTGTTAGTTTCCTCTCCCCCCCCATCCCTGGAGTGCCTGGGTCCCGGGCTGATTTTCCGGTATTGCTTTCCGCTTGCCGTTGCGCTCTCACTGGCCTCGAAGATGTCATGTGGGGGGCGCTTGTGTGAGAGGGGAGCCTACTCAAGTGAGCGCGGACATTATGCCCAGCACAAGCTCTCGAGACGCGCTGCGGCACATTCCGCGCTCCAGAGCGGGGCTGAGGCCAGGTGGAGGGGCGGAGGGCAGGAGGGCCCTCCCAGAGCAGGCCTCTGTCCCCTTAGTCTCCCGACGCCCTGCCGACCCTGGCACCTGGGCGACGCAGAGACACGGGATCGTCAGCGCCGGCATTGGCGCGCAAGTGGCCCGCGTGTGGGTGCGCGTGAGCGCCCTGGCTTCCAGTGTGGCGTGCCGCGGTGGCGGCTCGCGTCAGACGCGGCGCCCGGCCGCTGTGCCATCTTGCGCAAGACCCCTGTCAGTTCGACGCTCACGTTGGCACATGCAGGCGCTCGCTGGCCGGGCCGCCAGGAGGAGGAGGAGGAGGAGGAGGAGGAGGAGGTGGTGAAGGAGGAGGAGGAGGAGGAGGAGGAGGAGTGTTGGTGGTGGTGGTGGTGGTGGTGGTGGTGGTGGCTGGCCTGAACGGCGAGTAGGAGGAGGAGGTGGTGTAGGAGGTGGTGTCGGAGGAGGAGGAGGAGGAGGAGGTTGAGGGGGAGGAGAGGGGTGATGAAGAGGAGGGGAGGAGGAGAGGTGGAGGTGGATGAGGAGGAGGGGGGAGGAGGAGGAGGAGGAGGAGGGAGGAGGAGGGGGAGGAGGAGGAGGAGGAGGAGGAAGGGGGAGAGGAGAGGAGGAGGAGGAGGAGGAGGAGGAGGAGGAGGAGGAGGAGGAGGAGGAGGAGGAGGAGGAGGAGGAGCCTGTGTCGGCGCCGTCTTTGGTTGAGCCGTTCCCCGTGTGCGTTCCTCGCCCTCCCCGGCTGCGCGGCTGGCGTTTCGGGTGCTGGCCTGCCCCCCCCCCCCCCGTTCGGCGGCCGGCCACACCCGACTTCCGCGGAGGGTTTCAGCCCTGTCCGCGCTCCCGCAGATTGGTGTCAGCCTCCTTGAAGCGTAGCCCGGCCTGGTCTGGAGCCCGACGACAGCATCCATCAGAGCGTCGGAACAGAGAGTGTGTTTGTGCGCGTTCTTCCCGCGTCTGTCGTCCAGGCCGTTTTCTCTGCTCGCGCAAGCGTTAGGCGGCTGCCTCCTGTGGACAAGGCTCCGTGGCAGTAGTCTCCAGCTTGCCCCGCTACCCGTGTCGCTGAGTTTGACCGGCCAGCTTTGAGTAGAAGTGTTCCTCCCATGCGCTGTTCAACCTCATCTGTAACCGTCAACCCCTGACTTCCGACGTCACGCTCTGGCCCACAGCTTGCGGTGCGGAGGTCTCGTTCTGTTCCCCAGGATTGGCTTCTCGCCCCGGATCGTCTTGTGACGGCCCCGAGCTCAGTGCAGCGCCGCTCCTAGTAGCCAAAGCGAGCGCCGCTCCTAGTAGCCAAAGCGTTGGAGCGGCATCTCCACGACATGAGCTACGACTGGCGGGCCCAGCCAGTCCACGACTAGATCCCTGGCGGGTGCAGAGCCCGCGGCCGCCCTCTAACAGGCTGGTCTGAACCATTTCCGCTGCGCCCTTGAGGGCCCGTAGCCGCGAGCGCGCGCGGCCCGTACTCGGCGTTCGTTCGTTCGCTGGGTCCTGGCCCAGTAATAAGGGCCCCCAGTTTCCGGGAATGGCAGCAATCCCGCCCGATCGATTCTGTTCTCGGCGCGAGGGGGTCTGGGGCCGTCTGTGAGCTTCCTCCCCCCCGCCTCCTCGGCGCCTTCCCGATCCTCCTCCCGAGGCGCCCGACAGCAAGAGCCTGGTGTTCCCCCTGCTCGAGATGTTCCACTGGCGGCGCGTCGTCTTCGACGAGTTTCACGAGCTGGAGCGCGCGGCCCGCGCCCGCGGCGCTCACTGCACCGCCGCCGCTCTATCGCCTGGCCAGGTGCACGAGAAGCTACGCTTCTGGAGATTGGGGACCCAACGTCTAGGTTTCTTCCTCCTCCTCTTCCTCCTCTTTTCCTCCTCCTCCTTCTCCTCCTCCCCCTCCTCCCCTTCCCCCTCCCCCTCCTCCTCCTCCTCCTTCCTCTCCTCCTTCTCCCCCTTCCCCTCCTCCTCCTCCTCTCCTCCTCCTCCTCCACCTCCTCCTCCTCCTCTCCTCCTCCTCCTCCTCCTCTCCTCTCCTCCTTCTCATCCTCCCCTCCTCTCCTCCTCCTCCTCCTCCTCCTCTCCTCCTCCTCCTCCTCCTCCCCTCCTCCTTCTCATCTCCCTCCTCCCCCTCCCTCCCCCTCTCCTCCCCCTCCTCCTCCCCCTCCTCCTCCTTCCTCCTCCTCCTCCTCTCCTCCCCTCCTCCTCCTCCTCCATCCTCCCCCTCCTCTCCCTCCCCCTCCTCCTCCCCTCCTCCTCCTCCTCCCCTCCTCCTCCCTCCTCCTCCTCCTCCTCCTCCTCCTCCTCCTCCTCCACCCCCTGCTCCTCCCCCTCCTCCTCCTCTGCTGCCTCGCGCAGAGAGTCGCGCCTCGCGCGTCGTGGCCCTCAGCCCGAGCGGCCGCCCCCCTCTCTCGGGGTGGGGGGGCGGGAGGAGGGCGCGACGCGCGACGTCAGGTAACCCAGCGCACGGCTCCTCGGAGGCACGGCGGAGGCCCAGGGACTCGTAGCCTTAGGTCGGGCAATGTCCCCCTGCAGGTTGTTTTTGGAGGAGAAGTACAACATGTTCAAAACATCTTCAAGAGTGCTCCAACAAAATTCAAACATCGTCCCCAGAGGAATCTTTTAGAAATGCACTGTTGAGCATTCCTCCTGGAGAGGGACCTGCCCGACTTCACCGTAGCCCAGCCTCGAAGGCCCGCCCCCTGCCCGGGGCTCTGGCTCGTCGGACGTCTCGCAAGCGGGCTCGCGGCTTGGCTGGTTGCCAGTCGCTTCCTTGGCACAGGGCGCCGCCAGGATCCTCAGGGAGGCCCCCCCACGGCCTCCCTAGCACCCCTTACAAGGCCTGGAGGGCCCCAGGGGCTCCAGAAAGGAGCGAAAATAGCCGGGAGCACCCTGGGCCAGCAGGGCCGACCTGCGTGGGAGCACCATCGGCACCGAGATCGATGCCCTCGCTCCCCGCCCCCCTGGCCCCGCCTCCCCCTCTCTCGGCTGCAACTCCTGGGTGGTGTCCTTTGGCATCGGCGCCGGTATAGACCCCGTCGATGAGAACCATGCTACTCCGGTCTCATCCCGCTCCGTCTGGCCTGCTCCGCTCAAAATCCGGCCTGATCCTGGGCTCCCCAGTTTGAAGCATATCCCTATCCCTGCGATCTGATACTCCCCAGACCTCTCCTGGGGTGCGTTCTGACCATGATTTCGAGGCGAATCCAGCGGATACGACGAGGGCCTCATAGGAGGCCGAAAAAGGGGGAAAACGAGCGACGGGTAGAGGTATAGGTATCTTTTCCTCCATCCACAGGCCCCCCGAGTAGTCCAGGCTGTCCTGACAAGGCCAGCCGGGTAGTCCCAACACCCTGGCGCCAGCTCGCGGCGGCGCCCCTGGGCTGGGGTGTTGAGACCGCCTCTTTGGACGCCCGAAATGGGTACGAAGCTGACCATCAACAATACCCATTCATTCCGTACCCATTTCGATCGCACCGAGCCTCGGACTCTGCTCGGGGGGCCTGATGCCTGCTGAGGTCAGCCGGGAAATACCTGGAGGGGGGCTGTCTGTCTGCGCGCAGCCCGAAGTCCAGAGCCTCCCCGGACGCCGTGCGAGCTTGGGCCACCATTCGATCGAGCCCTCAACCAGCCTCGAAATCAGTCATCCCTGTCCCTAAGATGGGCGAGCAAAAAACGAGGACAATCTCAGGGATGCGCCCTCAGAAACGAAGGGAATCCTTCGGTATCGGTACCTTTTGGTTTCCCCAGTGCCGCTACTCCTCGGACCTCTCCCTGGGTGCATTCTGACTTGAATTTCGGAGCGAATCCAGCCGTGGCGACGAGAACCTCCCAGGAGGCCCAAAAAGGCGAAAACGAGGGAAGGACACTTAGCGGTACTGGTACCTTTTCCACCTCCGAGTTGAGGCCAGCCAGGACTATTTTGGGGGGACTGCTTGTGCGCAACCCAAAACCTTACCAACCGCATCGGCGCACGACCCATACCCCCGACGTGCTGAGTCTGTCGAATCTCGACCCGCAGAGGTCTCCACCCATTCCCCGGGACAGGTTGTTCGTCCCGAGTGGTTCTTTGACGGTCCCGAGGCCTGGTCAGGGCCCCCCCCAGCGGCTGAAAATTCGTGCTTTTGTCCATGACTCGAGGGCTGCGGACCCTTACCAACCGCATCACCGCACGAGTCAGCGACCCGTCGGCTGCGCTCAGAGTGCGCAGCAGCGGGTTCCAGATCGCGCCCGCGCCGCCGGTGCACCAGCGGCGCGAGGCGATCCCGAGCAGGGGGGGAGGGGCCTGCGCCCCCCTGGCCGCCCAGATCTGGGCGTCGCGGAAAGGTCAGGGCCCCGAGGTCCGGGCGTTGCCAGGAACTCAGGGTCCCCTCTGGGTGCCCTTTTTTGCACACCTTGGGCGACCTTGGGCCCTGTTTTTACACCTTACACTTTGAGCGTCGTGGCTGCATGTGGCGCTCGTGTGAAAGAAAGGGCGACTGCCAGCTCAGGCCACGGTGCCGAATAACTTACGCCCGGCGTCGCAATCTGTTCGCACTGGGCGGAGTTGCCTTGCTTTTGGCCCCGTGGCCCTCTCAGATCGATCCGGCCCGAAAGATGCAGCAGAAAGGGTGTGGTCTAGGGTTATGTCGGGCACGTCCCTCTACAGGAGGAATACTCAAACATAAAAGATTGCATGGCGACGATTTTAGTAGAATAGCATGGCGACGACTATAGTATCGCGACGATTATTATTATTATTATTAGTATTATTATTAGTATTTGTATTTAGTAGTATTATTATTATTAGAATTATTATTATTACTTTTACTATTATTATTATTGATTCCATTATTATTATTATTATTATTATGATCATTATTATTATTATTAGCATTATTATTATTATCATCATCGTTATTATTATTATTATTATTATTATTATTATTAATAATAATCGCTTCGCTCATTCCGCCGGCACTGGAGCCCTCTTTAGGGCCTCTTGGGGGCCTTTTGGGGACCTCTTGGGAGTCTCTTGGGGCTCCTTGGCGGCGTCTTGGGGGCCCCCAGGGCCTCTTGGGGGGCTCTTTGGTCGGGAGGGGGGGTAGTCAATTGCGGCTCCCCCCTCGGAGGTCACGATCCTCGTGAGGGGTGTCGAAAATTGCCCCGAGAACCATCTCTGACCCGAGTCTGCCGGGACCCTGTCGGGGTACTTTTCGCCCGGAGACCCCCAGGGGGCCGCCCCGCGCGCGCGAAGTAGAATATTGTTAACCAGTTACCGGAGATCTTAGCACGCTTCTGGCCGAACATGACATTTTCTCCTTTCGTGCCCCTTTGGGGCCCCAGGGAGCCCTTTTGGGGCCCCTGAGGTGCACAAAAGGAGTACTGCTTTCACCCCCCCCGTGTATCGCTCCTGCTGCTGTCCTCCTGCATGTCCTCATCGTCATCTTCATCATGTTCATCATCATCATCATCATCATCATCATCATCATCATCATCATCCGTAGCCATTTTGGCTCAAGTTGGAACCATTGCTCCGTGGCTCCAGCTTGGGAGCAGCCGAGGAGCAGCTCGAGGGTCTCGGCAGACAGGCTGCCAGCGCTCTCGCCCACCAACCCACTGAGTGCATACCCTCTCTGCCCCTCCTCACATCTGACCGCCATGGCGGTCGATATGGTTGCGACCCAAGCTATGTTTCAGGCCATGTTTGACACCCAGTTTGCCAAGATCGAGAAATCGATCGATGAGAAGGTCGCGGGTCTTGCTGCCACTGTTGGAGAACAAGGCCAGATGATGAAAGAGATCTCCGACCGCCTCGAGAAGTCAGAGAATCGTCTCAATGCCTTGGAACAGACGGCTCAGGTGAATGCCCGTTTGCCCTCTCTTGTTAACAGTCAAGGAGGTAAGCGCCGTGCAGTTGACAGCTCGATCGGTGAGGGGTTCACCACAGGAGTGAGTGCTGGAGGAGGATCGTCTCTGGAGGATGCCCACCGTCTGCTCATCCTTGGGTTCCAGGATCGGTTGATGGCCACTTCTCTCGAAAGGGTTGCCAAAGACATCATCTCTAAGTGTGCGACAGAGCAGGCAGCCAGTCTCATTCGGATCCGTGCTTATGACCTCCAGAAGAAAGTTACCCTGGACTTCCCTACCCCCGCCATGGCTTCGGACTTCCAGATGAATTTCAGGAAGCTGAGTGACAGTTACAGTATGGTTAACCCACGGAACCAGCAGGATGTTTGGCCCCTTCGTGTTCGTCGTAACCTGTATCCTCAGCATCGGCTTCTCTTCTTCAAGATGGGGAAGGTACGGGGTGCGGTCCAGGAGAAGCTTTCCAAGGTTGGGTTGCAGGCCAACTCTAATGGAATCGGCGGGGATGTTTTCGGCCTTCGCTCGCGTGAAGATCCAGTTCCTCTCTTCCGCCTCACCTGCTGCCCCAAGAACTCGGATGTGATCCACGTTCGCCCAGATGAAGCAGGTCTTAGTGCTCTTGGACTGAACGCTCCTGAGATCCGTGCGAAATTCGAGTCTGCGTTCGCTACTGAGCTCACGCGTCCTGGGGGCCAATTTTTTCTGTGCCCCCCAGGGACCTCCAGGAACTTTGCGGCGGGTGCCCGTCGCGCCCGTGAAGGCGGGATCGAGTTTAATCGTTCCTCCAGTTTTGATGCCAGTAGCTCGAGCAGTTCCGATTCCGACTCGAGCTCCTCTTCGCCCAGTGGGGGTCTGCCCGCTGAATCGTTGCTCCCCTTTTCCCAGCCTCCC